GGGGGGGTTGGGGAGAAGCAGAACTTCTATCTTTTTGTTTAATCTATTCAAAACGAAAAAACTAAGTTGGTATTCTGTTTGTACTTTCTTACCAGCATCTTGAATGTACTGAAAAAAACCTGTTCTCAGGTCATCAGAACTTTGTTCTGTCTTACAGGTTGTGGGTCTAACAGCAGCAGGTGATACCGGGAGAACGTACTGTTCAGGACTTGGTGTGCCCAATCCCAACTTTTTTCTCAGGTATTCTTGGACGAGTTCATTTAAGAGCATTAAACAATTCAGGTTTTCCTGACCCCAGAAAACCTAGAAAGAAAACTTTATTAGCCATGGAAAGGTATAAAAAGAAACCTACGGCTCAATCTGGAAGTTATCTAAACAGCATTTATTCACATTGATTATATATTTTATTTGGCAGCATCAGATCCATAGTTCATGAGAAATGTTAAAAGCAAAGAGATAACTTCCTCCGGCTCGTGTTCACGGCACAGTATTGCTATTGTTTTCAGTCCTGCTTAATATCAACACAGATAAAGTATCCCATGAATTAAATGAAACACATCACTATTATCTTGAAGGCAACTAAGATGCCCCCTGTGAAAATTAAACAAGCAGTTTTATGAAGCGTATTTTACATATGTTTTACTTCTTGTGGAGTGTGGTTTTTGTAGATAATTCATAATTACAAGCTGTTCTTTAGCTACATTTGCAAAGTTTCTTGAAAGAGCTTGGATTCAAACAAGTCAGTGCTGCATTACACTAAAGAATACCTTTCATGCACACTTTAAAGCATATAGAACGGGAAATTGTTGAAACTCAAAAAAAAATAAAAATATGACCTATGTTATTGCGACACAAGGGGAGCAAGAGGGTGATTTAGGTCTCCTCTGGCGGCACAAACTCAACTCTTGCAAACTGCTTTGAAAATGTGCCTCCTTATGTTATGTTGTTGGAAGGTTGTCCCACGTTGCCACCCACAGCACTTGGACACAGCCCTTCACGTTTTTGTTTTTTTTCAATTGCCACAACACTTCCACTTCTGTCTGTACTGTGCCATTTATTAGCATTATCGTGGCTCTACAAGGGGGTTTTGGGTTTCTCATATCATCTTGAATATGTTAATGTAATTGCAAAAGTAATTTTACCCTTAAAAAAAAAAAATATGCAGCTTTCATTAATAATAACATCTTGTGATTCTGCCATTTTCGTTGTTCAGGCATTTCCTGTGATACTACAACAGCACCCTGTCCCTCCATGCCAATTGTGTTCCTGCATTGTCACCTGTCACTACCAATTGTGTTCCTGCGTTGTCACCCTGTCACTACCAATTGTGTTCCAGCATTGGCACTCTGTCACTACCATTTGTGTTCCTTCGTTGTCACCCTGTCACTACTAATTGTATTCCAGCGTTGTCACCCTGTCACTGAGTTTCCGATGGAGACTAGCAGTTTCAACACACAATACACAGGCATTATCCACTGTTATCATAATAAGGACACATGCTGCTTCAGAAGTGCTGCTGGTCTTTGAATAAATTAGTTTGTGGTAAAATATACACCTATGTAGGGCCAGGCCAAGGGGTAGGTAGAAGAGACAGCCTCCTTAGGCTCTTCAGGAGGAGGTGGATGCAAAAAGGACAGGGCCTGCAACCAAATGATGCTGCATAGCTTGAAGGGGGCACTTTGGCCTTTCTGTCTTAGGTGCTTGTCCTGGCAGTGCTTGTACTACCGATAAAATCAGCATATCCAGATCAATGCCAGCAACAAAAGGATCTGCACACATAGGTCAATATTTGTAATTGAGACTACACATTTGGGTCACTCTGCAGTTATAAAAAGGAGGAGATAACTTTTGAGCATCAACAATATCAGTCAGTAGGACTGGTTATCAGTCAACACAAACTGAGTAAAAGTGCTCCTTTACATTTTAGGAACACAAAGGAATTATTTTAATACTTTCTAGTTACTACAATTGTGTTTCTTCACAATTATTCACAGTAAGTTTAAACATTGGTGTTTCATTTCGGAACATACTGACCTGAAGTACTCCACATCTCACATCAATGAGAATTTTCGGAGATGACCGGGAGAGGCCTGGGTTCCCACTATGTTTGCACCAGTTGGCATCCAGATTTATAGAACCAGAAACTGGACCTATGAGATTCCTGCTTCTGTCCTTCAGGCTTGTTTTTAGAAGAAAATCACTTACATTCAGCATAAATGATGCCGCAGAGATTGAATCTATAAAAAAAGAGAAACATACAAGGTTTTATTGGTAATTCAGAAGACTCTAATGTAGTTATGCTGCATATACAGCAATACATATAATGCTCTTTTAGGTTGTTGTTGGGGTTTTTTTTTTTAAACAGCTAAGCAATGCAGCAAACGTTACAAAATCCAGTGTTGGCAGCACATAGGAGAGTGGGACCATGGCGCTCACACACACAAAGCAGTAGCCCAGTCCTTCAGCTGTCTGACATGCCCCCCAGAATCAGGATATCATTTTGAGCAGTAAACATATTCATGGGATCAGGGGACTAATGGACAAAAGTCAAATCACATGGGGTTTTTGAAGTCAACCCCTGGTCTACCACAATGCTCCCTGCATCTAACCCCCCCCAAAAAAAAAGATTCTCCATATACTGCTACTTAATGTGTTTTGCAGAGGGATGGCAAAGATATTGCTGAGTATTCAGCTCCCCCACAGTCCCTCCCTGCACAATGACTTAGTGAATTCTGCAGAAGAAGGATACAATATGAAACGGCAGCATGGAGCTAGAGCAAGGGCTCATTCACACTTTGCAATGTGCACTGCAGCACATGGCGATTTACATTTTTAAATGCGCAGCTGCTCGTTGCATCAGCCCATCCATTCATGTGTCCTCTACAAGAGTACACGCTACAAAAAAAATTAGCTCACCCTTTTTTTCTCTATGCACATCAACAAAGCGCATTTGTGTTTCCACATGAATGTGTTATAATGTGCTAAAAGGTCAGATGCATTGCATACTTTGTGGGTGTGTGTTGGAGGCCCACCAGAGATAAATATGAACACACCCCAAAGCTGCCCTAAATAACAGAGAATGAAAAGATACATCTTTTTTGAGGGCACAACTCCTTCACGTTGTTAGGTCACAAGTTGTTGACTCAATCAATGGACCCCTGCCATTAAGATGAAACCTAAAACAAGTTGGACAGGCACCACTGATGGAGATGACAAGGAGCAAAGGGAGTTGGGCTCATCAGTATTATCTGTTCAGTTATCTGATAAAACCAGAGATCAAGGCAACACCCTCATTTCAGAGACTCACTATACATCTTTAATGGAGATTTAATGTAGGCTACCAGTTTTACTGCAAAGAGGAGTGAGGGACAAATAGAATAAATTAGTTACCAATACTCTTCAACCTCATTAAGATTTGCCTGAAAATTCAGTTCAGTAACATAGCAATTTATAATATACATAATCGCTAGATATCTGTATCTGTATGCACCAGTTAATACATATGCTGAACTTGCAAGCAATCTGTTTTTTAGGCTGGTCATGGGGGACTGGATCAGGGAAATGTTGCTCCATGTCAAAGGGGCATTTTGTTCTATCCATGGGTATGGAATATGCCAAACAGCCCCCTGCTTTTAAAAATGTTATTTCTAGCTTTTCCCAGCAGATCTCCTCTTATTGCAATACATGAATGAGGGATGGATCACTTCAGTACATCAGGCAGACCCTCTGACGGGAAAAAGAAACACACAAAGTGTGAGTTTCTGCCGCCTCAAATGATAGAATAGCTAAAGGTCTATATTGTGATGTTTATCAAAGGAAAATCAAAGAAGAGCCAGGTGGCCAAGAAGACGGCGGGGCACAGGAATTGAACTGTAGCAGTATATTAACATAACACTGAGTGGCATTCAATACATGTTTTGGTATATTCTGAAACAAACCAAAATTACATGAAAAATATAGCAAATTATAATTTAAGTGACAATTCTTAGCTATTTTAATTGAATAGTATGACCAAGGGAGCCTATTTCTATCTAAAATATATAATAGAGAAAAGTGGATAGCCCCTTTTTGGGGACAATAATTCTAGTGTTCAATACAATGTTTCAGAATGTGAGATTCAACAAATTATATTTAACACAACTATCTCCTACTCTCTGTCTACCTCATGACCAGCTCTTTCTTTAATGATTGCTCTCCCATGATTCCCATCCCTGCTCAAATAGCAGAGAGCTCTGCATTCATAGTGTTGTTAGGCTTCTAATGTTTCTGGGAACTAATAGAGTTAAAGATTTTTTTAATAGCTGGCACCAGCCAAAGTGGTCACAGACTTCAGTTCTTATGTTTGGGTGTACTGATATACAGTTATGGGAAGCCAGAGGTCCGAGACATGGGACGTCCAGTAGCTGCGGGAAGTGCCTTGTGTGCCAGGGGCTAAAGGGACTCGGAATTGTCTAATATCTGCATTTCACAGTAACTACTGACCTCAAAGGCAATCTCATTGTACTGCCCCCTAGGACCAGGAAGTATTTGCAACTGCACAGTTCCTTACACCTTAATAGAAATAGAACTAAGCACATAATCTATGTAGCTGATTCCCTAAATTATTTCTAAATTGAGTCATACGTTGGATGGTCATGAGCTAATTATGTTGAAACAAGAAGCAATCTGCTCCCCACATTATATATTACTGTAATCACCCAAACCCATATTATCTTTTCACTAACTACATCACTTGGTGTGTGCACTACCCAGACTCAGTCACATTGTTAATAAGTTCATATCCTATTCCAAACCACTAGAGTTAAGATATTAAGATCACAGGCCGGAGGGATTAAAACAGCCGACAATCTGCATAGCCAACACTAATTTGTCTCAGGCTGGGCATAAACCAGGGGATCTCCCAACAAAAATTATAGTCAGTAGCGACATTCTACAAAGAGGCAAGGTGAGAGCTTTGTATTCAGCTGCTACTGTCCACACCTTCCTGCAGCAACAAAAACAAAGAAAGCACATTTTGTGCTTATTTAATTGTTCCTTATGATCACCCAGACAGGGACTGATGGGATTCTGAGTTGGTGGCGTGACGCATCAGATGTGAAATGTCAATGCAGCCTATTTACTTAATTTTACTTGCAACACAACCTGAATTTTGATAGCAAATCTGATATAAGGCACATCACTTGCATCAGGATGTGTACGGCCAGCTTTAAATAATCAATGACTGTGGAAGACTGACGGATAAAACTTTAAAGGGAATGCATAGTGATTTGCACACATTTTCTTTATGTTTATTGTGGTCAGGATTAAAATAATAAAAACTTTTTTGAAAAATGTTTTAGTTAGGAAAATATTAAATATTGTATATTAATATAATGTAGTCTTCTATCCAGGAAGGACGCGGAGCTCTTGTCTTCTTTTCACACCATTAACATGATTTTTTTTTCCAGGTGAGCTGAAAGAAGCCCATTGTTTAAAGAACCATTAAGCAGGAAGGGGCTTCCTCCAAGTAAGCCTGCTCTGTGTAATCACTGCTACATAACTGTATGTCCCATAGTTGGTAGCTTAAAAAGTTTTTTAGGGACCACACTATGATGAGGCAGTGTGGTATCACATGTATTTTCAAATGTATACAATAAAAACCTGACATTTTTAAACAGTTTAATTAGGTTTTTTGTGCTGACTAGCTGGCAAGTGTGCTGGGGATTTTTTTCCATTGCTTTGTATATTGCCCTGCCCACGTTCATCTTTTCTTTTTGCTAGTTTTATTGATCGAAGTGGCTGCTATTCTTGCTTTGTTTACAGGACTGGAACGGGCCATCAAGGCAGTGACTTCTGTATCTAACTGCTGATCTGAGGTTTCTATCAGGCAAACAAAGCAATAAAGCAACCCACTCTTTAGCAGTTTTTAAAATATCACATAGTGTTTTGGGAACCTTCTGTTAAATGTTTAATTATAAAACAAAAATTGTATTTAGATACCGGAAAAAAAGACAGAAAGCAATAGTTAATAAACCTATAAATAATAACCTTAAAAACACATTCCAAAACCACAATAGTTACCCTTTAATCTCCCTTGTCTACTTGATAACAAAGATGCTGTCAGCGGTGGTCCCATTCTCCTGATAAGCATTACCCAGAACAGATTTAAATCATTGCTTTATTTGAACTAGATGTTCATGCATTTCCCCGGACGGTAACTGAATTTTATGGTGTCATATATAGAACTGCACAGACCTTTATAATATCAGTTTAGCCACTGACCTCATGAAATCAGATCACTTGGAAAAATATGTTAAGAAAGTGGCCTGAGGGACACAGGCACCATACAGATGGTTCAGGTTTCCAGAATTATAACAAAAGCCATACAAGAAATATAGAAATCATAACTGAGCCGTAGAATGTAAAGACTTATTAAGCTATGACTGGTGCTGTGGGTGTGGCCTATTTGTAATTCTATAATGTCTGGCCCAGTGATCATTGCGACGACCAAGACAGTCTAAAGGAAGTATTGAAGTCGGGAGGGTAACATCTGACATTGCATGCCTAATGAGTGAACCTGTATAACTCAGGGACCAACATTTCAGGCACAAACTTCTTAATTACATACTGTAGGTAGGAAAGACTTTATATTTGCAAAGCAGGCCTACTTATCTTTTTAAGTTCTATGTAAATTAAGCTACTTGCCATTTTATACAAGAGCAATGACTTTAAAAAGTATCTAAAGACAAAACTTGTTTTCTTTTGGGGGGGGAGAGAGTGATTAAAACCTCTACAGACAGCAATAAAAACTTAGCAGAGTCAAATCAAAGCCTTTCACACACAATTTTTTTTTTAAATTGGCATTGCATAAACTTTTATGATTTGCTTGTACACGTAGTTTTGCATTTGCTGCCACTTTCTCTTCGAATGATGAATACTTTGATAAAACAGAGGATGTTTGTTTCTTGCAAATGCTCAGAAAATAAGTCTGACATCTCAAAAAAGCTGGCAAACATAGTAAGACTTTGCTTGGCAAACATAGCAGAAGAGAAGTATCACCCCAGCCCTAATTTAAAATGTGACTATTAAAACTATGGCGCATATTTCTAAAACAGCAAAGGGAGTAATCAGTCGAAACTTTAATATACTGTAATAAAATATAAGTTACATGTAATTTAAAAAGACACAATGCCCACAAATGTAACAGGGGAATTTACCCTAATTTACTACCAATGTAACTGAACCTTATCCTGACCAC